AAGAAGCTAAGAAGAGCTATGTACCTTGTCATGCTCAGGGACTGGGGATGGGCACCTCAGTATAAACTCCCCATGGAGCAGGTGAATTTTATCTGCGTCTTACTGGTCAGGACGGAATTTCTGCCTTTTGGAAAGTCCTTTAATCAGAAAAGCAGGAGAAGCCTTTGTAACCACCATAGGCTGCAAATCACACCAGCAAATGTATGGACTAAAAGAACACATAGGGACACTTAAGGACAACAGCCACCCATCCACCCCCGACCCCAGATCTCTTCACAGTCTGATTTGCAACCATGTAAAGATACGTAATTTTTGTGGCAGTTTTTCAAAGAATTTGTTTCTCTTGGAGGCAGAAGGAAAAGGCAGCATGTGCAAAGCAGAAACAGGGGCTGAGCAATAGCACTCAACGCTTACAGCATGACTGCTCTTTGCAAGCCTAAAAGCAAAGGGACCAAAAGCTACATGGCACAAGCCCCGTTCAGTCCCACACCAGGATCTGAAACAGCTCCCAACCGACTCCAAGGAGTCCAGGACATAAGGGTGCACCATCAGGACTGTTAACAGAGATATGCTCGCGTCCCAGCACAGCCCTGAACCAGCACTTCCATGGGGAGCTGAACCTGCAAAATCCCTTTTCTGTTTAAGGCTGGGCCGGTGCTTACAGCGGGTGGCAGGTGCTCTCTGTTAACCCCGGGGGAAGGAGAGGATAAAAGGGAGAGAGACTTAGGGGTTGGAAACTTAAAACAAACTTTAATAAAACAATAACAGTGAAAACAGTATAAATAATATGAAAACTAACACTGCTAATAATAGAAATAGAAATACACAAACCCGATATTGCTCTTTGCGATGATGACTGCGAGGCTCGCAGTGCTCACAGGGCAGGGCGGGCACCCGGATGCCCCAGAACTCGGGTCCACAGCAGGTGGGAAACCAGATTGAGGGGTGCAGGGTCGGGGTCGGAGGCAGGAGAGCCAGCAGAGTCCCACTGGGATGCCGGCCATGAGGGAAAGA